AATTAGATCTTCAAATTTATTCAGTTTAATTTTGTTTTATTAACACCAGGGACATTGTAGAACCACAAAATGACAGTTGCAAAGGCTGTGAGGTAACATGGACTCATGTTCATACTGAAAAGTGAAGGTTAAGAAGCAGGACGCTAAGTTGTTCACTATGTCAATGGTGTTTTGCAAATAGATAAAGACTGAAGAGGAAGACGGAAAAATTAAACCAGTGGATTAAAGTGGGGTGGGTGATCATTTTCTTTAAAAGTTTTTTTCTTAAAAATATGTCAAATTATAAAATCGTTGCCTTTGGGAGATAAGGTTATTAGTGACTTCTCTCCCCACCCCCCACTTCTTTCCAAATATTCTACACTCAATAGGTATTATCTGGATAATCAAAGAAAAAGAAGTTACAACACACACCCCTGAAAGAGGCTGTTCTCTTCATGCTGCCATAGCATTAATGGAGTAGGAACTATTCCCTTATTCCCTTTTCCCCCAAGGCTGCCTGCGTGGCTCTTCCTCTTTTTCTCCCCACTTATATCCATCCTCATCACCCTCTTTAGAGGCCCTCCCACTGCAAAAACAGAATTTAAATGAACACACTTGGAAAACCCAAAGGAGCTCTGATCTCAGCCTCCTGCTGGTAAGAGCCTGGCTGGGACACTGACACAGGAGGGGAGAGCCATGGGGGAGTTTCCCTGAACTCTGCAGGGCAGGAACAGAACATATGTCATTTTCATTGCTGGATTATTCCACCCTTCTTACTGCTGTCATTATTTCAAAATGTTCAAGGACAGACGTCTCCGCCCCTATCCCGCCCCCAGGACAGCCTTCGGCAATTTCTATGTAACCCTCTTTCTGCTCCCCCAAGATTCTCTCTACAGACCAGAGAAATAAGGTGTGAAGGTGAGGAAAGAGGGTCTGCAGCCTCCACGGATGCTGGCAGGAAAGGAGCTTTCTTATCTCTGCTGGAATATGGCAGAGATCCAGGTTGGAGACTGGTGCAGCCGAGGCTATTGATTAAACTTTGTTCCGCATGTAAGTTTCATCTCAACGTCCAGAGACACAAAAGCTGGAGTCTCTGCAAACTTGCTTATCTTCTAATCAGAGGAGGCTCTGCAGAAAGCAAGGGGAGATGGAGGCTAGGGGTCCCAATGGAAGGGAGGTTTGTGTGTTGTGGGAGATGGATGAGATGGCATAGAAAAAACACGGCGGGGATGGGGCGGAGCAGGAGACCAGAGTTCAAATCCCAGCTCTGCTCTCTCCTTGCTGGGCAATTTGGGGGCATCACTGCCCTCTCTGAGCTTCAATTTCCTCTCCTGTAACTCAAAGAACTAGTTAAGGATCCCTGTCCCTTTCCAAGGCCACGTGATCCTCTCTGAGGTTGTTTTCTAGCCTATAGAATCAGGATCTTGATATCTACCCCTCGTCAACAAAAAGATTACTTCAACCTTCTACTCCCAACAAACAGATTTGTCCATCGGAGGCCAAATAGTTCTCCAGTTTCATCTCTCGGCATCCTCACCTCTCATTTGATGCTCCTATCCACCTCATCTCTATGCCTTTTCTCATTCTCTTTCCTCTGCCTGGATTTCCCTCTCCTTTTTGGATTAACATCTATTTGTCTTCTAATATTCAGCTCATCTCCTCCAGGAAGCCTTCCTCAATTCCCCATCCACTGGCTAGGTTAGGTTCACTCCTCTGGGCTCCTGTAATATCATGGGCATGTGCCATTGTTGCCCTTAGGAGCTAGTAATCACAGCTGAGGTTTATTGAGCACTTCCTAAGTGCCTGGCCCTTTTCCCAGCATCATCTAGTTGAATCTTGACCACACCATGGGAAGGAGGTGCTGTCTTTATCCCTATTTTCCTGATTAGGACACTGAGCCTGAGGAAGGTGAAGGTTAAGTTTGGAACTGTGATGTGAACCCAGGGTAGTGTTTTTCCAAAGTCTATTTGCCATATACTCTGTCCGCCCACCTCACTGCCTGAATACAGGCATAGTAATTTTCTGTTTAGGAATATATGCTAGGCCTTCTTCTGACCTATGAACCCCAGGAGTGCAATGTCTTGCTCCTTTGTGCCTCCACCCTACTCTGCCAGGCAGAGTCACAGGAAGGGCTGAATTCACATCTCACGTTTTTGGACCCATGCGGTTGGGGCTGCCCTCCTTGCCCTTCAGCCTTCCTTACCCCTCCCAAGGTCTTGGGAGTCTAGGAAGAGCCAGGATGTTCCAAGCCCCCTCGCGCCACCCCCTGGGCCTAGCCCAGTGTCCTCTGCCATGCAATGCCACAACCATACCTGCCTAGGGTCAGATTTAATCCAGGTAAAGAGACCTCCACCTAGAGGTCACGGTCGCATGTGCTAATGTGCTCAGCCTGGGTCAGCCCTCCTCAGGCTTAGTTCACTGAATTCTCACGGTAACCTATGAGGAAGATGGAAGTATGAGTTTCATCTTACAGATGAGGGAAACTGCGGCTGGGTTGACATCACAGAGCAAGTGGGGGCATCTGGAAGTGATCCCAGGGTGGTCTGACCTCCAGGCCTTTTTCCTTTCCCGCTGCTACCCGCTGTTCCTGGCAAGGCCTCGCAAGGGCAAATCCCCTGAGGATGAGAACGGTAATTCATCTTTGCACTTGCAATGGGTCAGTGCGACACCCAGGCACCATTGAACTGATTGTGAAAATCTGGGCTGGGCAAGCACTAGCTCACAGCAAGACCAATAACTGTTTATTGGCAGAGGTCAGCAGGGCAAGGATTACTATCCCCACCTGAGATGAGGAAGTTGCAATCAAGGAGTAGGAAAGTTGCCCAAGGTCATCATTGAGTCAGAGGAAGAGCAGAGACTTGAATTCAGGACACTCATGGACCCTGTTTAAAGTAAGAGGAAGGAGGGTGTGGCAGGGCTGGAGTTGTGGGGCCTGGGCTGGCAGTTTTATGGGCCCTGTAAGTCACAGAGATTTGTCAGGGCCATCCCTGCTCTAATGAGGGCCTTGTTCCTTCCACTGGAGCCGGGCCCGGTATGGCCTAAACAGTGACAGGTGACTAGTTTATGGCAGTCCAGGACTGGGTCCCGGGCTGGGAGATAAGGCCAGGAGTGGGGGCCTCCTGCCTGTATAACCTTGGAATCAGAGCTGGTAGATGGAGCAGGAGCCGCCCTCGCCTCCCACACTGCAAATGTGCAGCTTCTGTGGTGTCTGTGATTAAGATGTATCAGTGAGGAGGTGTCCATCCTTAACCTCCTTCCCCGCCCCACACCTCCAGGGGACCCCCCCACGCTGGGGCCTGGTTCTTCTTTTTCCATCTTGCTGGCCCCCAGACATACTAAGGGGTGTGCAGACGGGCCAAGAGCAGGATTACCTAGGGGGCAGTACCCCCTCCCACACTTTCTCTCTTCGGGGGACCCAATGCAATGGACTTTGAAGTGGATTGAAAAGTCACTAATCTAATAGCACGTTAATCCCATCAAAGGTTTCCAAGTCTCCCCCCTGCTCGTCAGGGGGCTGGTCGGCGGACCCTCTGACATGGACTTCATTCCTGGGAATAATAGGCTTCCTCCACTCTTCCCACCTTTTCCCAGTCCTGAAAGATACATTTTACAGCCCTGTAAACATAAATCTACACTCCAGAAAAGTCCCTCCAGTGTGGAATCCCTCTCCGGACTGTCATAGTCCCAGGCTGATGATTAAAGTTGAAAGCAGTACAGACAATAGGGCCATAAGCCTGATGTGGATGCCCCCTCCCCTCCTGCCTCTCTGTAGGATCAAAGCTGCTCCTTCATGCTGTGTGATCCTGGGCCAGGAGGTGGAGGGTGAAGGGGAGTTATCCAGGAGTCTAACCTAGGAGGAAGCCCTTTTGCCCGGGTAGTTCTGGGGGAGGCAATCCCTCTTCAGAGGTCCCTAGCTCTGGTTCAAAGGCGGGTGGGGGCTGAGAGGTTGGCAGCGGATGGGGAAGCGACTAGACCAGAAAACCGGGGCTTCCTGTTGCTTGAGGGGACACAGGCCCACCACCTGGTTCCCAGTCCCTCTTCACTATCCACATCCGAGCTTCCCAAACTCCCTAAATGCTAGGGCCTCCTTCAAAAGAACGTTCCATTCCCTAAAGTCACCTGAAAATCCTGACCATGAGGGAACTAGGGGTCCATTCAGACCCCTGTCTCTTCTCTTCAGGGGTGGAGTGGGGAGGCTCAACAGGACCCAGCCCCTCTTCTGACCCCTTAAGTTTTTCTGTCGCTGAGCCCCTTTGTAATCCATTTCTCAATTCTGGCCCCTTAACCCTCCCTGCTCTGGCCATCACATAAACACTTACCCAGTAATTTCGGAGCGTCTTCACTCTCTGTCGGAATAAGGGTCTTTAGTCTGCTTGGAAATTAAGTTTGAAGCAGCCTGGGAGGACACAGAAAAATGATAAGAATCAGGGGTCACTGGTTGAGAAAAGCAAACCTTTCTGGGAAAACAGGATTCAACAAACATCATTCCACACCCTCAATTTCATCACTGATAGCCCTTCTAAGGCTATCTCCACCGCCCATCCCTAATCCAAGCTAACCCCAAAGTCCTGGCGGGCTGCCCCCCTCGGCGAGAGGGCTGCGCAGTGTCCGCGCCAAAATGAAGTCAGGAATCCTGGGTACCCAACCCTTGTGCGAATCAAGTACCTTGCGATGTTGCTACCCTGTTCCCAAAGCAGAGGCCAGGTGTGGATGGGGAGAGGAGCAGCCGGTGTGGGGGGCGGGGCGGGGGACGCTCCTCTGAAGGGAGAGGACGCAGAGCCCGTGAGGGGGCCTCGCGCAGAGAACTGGGTGGGGTGGGGGAAATGGAGGATTTTAGATCAGGGACAGGACGCGGGAGGGGAGGCTCCGCCAGGGGGAGGAGCCGGTACCCGCGTCCCGCTGTGGGGGCTCCCTCCCGTCGCAGCTCCGCTATAAAACCCCGTCCCGCCTGATCGCTGCATCCCCGGCGACCTTTTCTGTGCGCGACCCCCAGCTTGGAAGCGTCTTTGCTCCTGCAGAGGATGTGGCTGCTGCTGGCGCTCCTGGCCCTCGCCGCCTCCCGGCCCTTGGCCCGCGCAGGTGAATGCCTGGGCTTCGGCCCGGTGCCCCTCGGGTGGCCAGCTCTGCGCCCCCAGCCCCGCGCCCCCGCCCAGGCTGCGGCCGCGGGTGGCCAATGCGCGCGGGCTGCGCGTGGGTCCGGAGTTGCGTGTGCGCCCTGCGCAGCAAGGCTGCGGGCAGACGGGGCTGAGCGGGCGGGCTCCTGTGCGCGCACGAACGGCCTCGTGCGGTGCGGGCGGTGCGTGTGTATGTGTGTGCGCGGCAGCCCTCGGAGAGACCAGCGCGCGAGTCCATGAGAAGGATGCTTCTCTAACCCACCCCGAAACACGCCTCCGTTTCTCGCCCTTTCTGGCGTTTCACGCTGTGTCTGGTCCTCCTCCGTTTGTTCATGGGTCGCAGTCGGTCCCGCCGGAGATCATTGCTGGGTGGCTGCCTCCCCGAACCCCCACCCAGAGCGAGGGCAACATGTTGAGTGTGGCGGGGCCCTGGCATCACTGCTTCCTACCCTGGGTTCCTTATCCCCGGAGGCTGCCAGCTCCCTTTACCTACCTGGCCCCCAAGTGCTGTATTGGGATCTTGGCTGGGGGCACCCGGAGACCCGAGGTCCCGGCCGAGCCGGTCTTTCCAGCCAGGGTGATTTTCGTTTAAAGATTAATGGTGAGGCCGGGTTCTTAATTATTCGCCTAGGTAGGAGGTGGTAGGAGAGGCATGTTAATATTTGATAAGGAACTGAAAGTGCTTCCAGCGGCCGGGCACAGGGATCCGGGAGGCACCTTCTTTGTGATCCCACAGGTACCATCTCTTTTCTTCACTCTTCGAGGGACCTGCCAGTCCCTCGATGGTCTTTGGGGTCCGTCTGGCCAAACCTCTTCTCCAATGCTAGATGCTCCTTCCTTGGAGTCCTGGAGTGAGGGGTGAGGATATCACAACAGCAGAGAAGGAGGGAAAGGTACCGATTGCAGGAGAGACTTAGCTGCCGTTTTGCGGGATGAGAGGCACCTTGCAGCAATTCTCCGCCTCGCCCTAGGAGAGATGGAAAGAGAAGAGGCAGGGGAGGGGTTCAGAACAGGCCTCCCCAAGATGTGTCACTTTAGCATGTGAATTATTTTGAGCTGAAGGCAATAGGGAAACTTTCACCTTTCCCTTAAAAAATTTGAATAGGGGGGCCTTGCTCATAATAAGAGTAATTACCAGAAATAACTTTTTACGACCTATCTATAGGGTAGGGCAAACTTGTATTTACTGAACATCTGCTCTTATTGTTTTGTGATTGAACTTTGTCCCTCTGAAGCCCCAAAGTGCCTCACCTCGTCCTGAGTTCAGAATGTTATATATACCTCATTTTCCCTTTCTGTCTCTGACCAGCTCCTGTATGTGGGGTTCTGACACATACATATCTAATTAAATTTGGTCATTTTCTCTCATTAGTCTGTTTCATTTCTGTTTGATTATTAATTAGACCAGCTGAAAGAACCTAGAAGGATAGAGGAAAGTTTGTTCCTCCCCCACAGTAGGATGTGACCATCTACGGAAAACAGCTGGGCTTAGTAGAAAAAAAAAACACTTTGTAATTAATTTGGCTGCTTTGTAGTTGTGTGGCCTTAGGTAAGTCACTTAACCTCAGCTTTCTCATTTATAAAACAGTAGTTCTAACTTCAGGTGTTGTTTTAAGGATTCAAATAAGATAATGAGTGTAAGTGCTTAGTGTGGTGCCTATGTGGAAGGTGGCAGGCACTCCATGTGTGATGGCTGTGAAGGCTCTACCAGTGACCTGTGGCCAGATTGCCAAGAATTCATCTCCGCTGTCCCTTCACACAAGCTGTGCTCCTTTTAAGGACTGAGGCTTTCTGACTGTGAACTGCCAGGGGACCTGCCTTCCTCCACCCATTTCATCCTTTAGGAAACGTGAGGCTAGAGAGCCACCGGGCTCCACACCAAGTCCCCAGAGCATCTGCTGTCGTGGAGAGAGGAGGGGAGAGGATATCGGGCCCCTTCAGAGTCACAGACCCCTGGCCAAAGTTGCTGAGACTTTGCCCAGGACACACTTGGGTTTTGCTGAGCTGGTTTTCAGGATTCCTTCCTCCTTCTGGAGTGGGAGGGTGGGGTGAGCAAGGTCCATAGAGTTTCTTCAATCATCTCTAAAGAAGGGGAGGGGGCGATGGGTAAGTCAAGGGTGGGGGACAGTGACTGGGTGATTGGCAATTGTTAGGTCTCTCACTCCATCTCTGGTTAGAGCAGGTGGGTTAGGTGGAAATTAGAGCTTGGGGCCAAGACCTGTGTGTAGCCCCTCTCCTTCCCATGTCCTCTGAGGTGGCCTGAGACAGCAGGTAATCATCCACAAGAGCAGCCCTCTCATGAACAAATCCAGAAACCTGAGCTGGTTTGTGACTCTGACACTTTGAGCCTGAAAGCCAACTTGCTACGCTCAGCCCACACACATGGACCTAACCCTTGGCCTCAGCCTCATCAGCATTGTGTTTTCCTGGATCCTGCCTCCTGAAGAGGGTAGTTACAAGAGCATTCAGCCAAACAGGTCATAAGTCTCTATGATTAAAAGAGTGGACCAGAGGTTATCATTACAAACCTGTGAGCTGTAGCCAGAGGCAGGAAAAAGCAAATTCCTAAGAAAAGCTCAGCCTGGACCAGAAGGACCCTAGCGAAGCTCAGAGAGTGTTCCACTGGAGAGGCATACCTTGGGTATCCAGTCCAGAGGAGGGACCAGTTTGTCCTTGGAGGCCTCATCTGTCTTCAGGACTTCTGAGAGGTGAAGACATAAGAGGATTATAACAAGGAGGTTTTCACGGGTGTAGGTAACCTCCCATCCATTGTCTTCTCAGACACTAGCTCCTTCTGCCTAAGGAAGAGTGTCGGGCTCAGAAAAGTCAGTGAATTCTCTTGCAGAGATTAAGCAAGATGCAGAGCTAGGACTAGAAGCCAGGTGAACAGGCTCCAGCTTCAGAGTTCCTTCCACCTGCAGAGAGGGGCCTGAATGGGAAGTGGCCACTGCCCCTTGAAGAATTGACCCATTCGGGGGTTACCAGATGCAGCAACTCCCAGGGGCAGCAAAGCCCTGTCGAGGACAGGGGATGAACTATCATGGAGAAGACACTTAGGGACTGTCCATCTCTGAAAGAGGCTGTGCCAGCAGGATAGGTGAAGATTTGATCCAGAGCTGGGCAACTTGAAAACCCAAGGTGGCTCTGAGGGTCCCACAGTGAGAAGGTGCCTCAAACTCTTCCTCTCGCCTGCTACCAAGAACCTGACCTTCTCACGGCTCCCTCCCCACCTTGTCCCCATTCCAGGGACCCAGAGGAGATGGAGTTGGATGAAGGCAGCCAGGGTAAGATCGGGGGGAGAGGGATGATCTCAGAGACCTCAGCTCAGGCTGAGTAGGAAGCTATGCTTTTCTTAGGAATTTCCTCATCCCTGAATTCTTTCCAACTTGGCTTTGGCCATCTGTGCACTGACAGAGGCCAAAGGGAAGGAGGCAAGGGAAAGGGAAGGGCTTTATCAGGCACTTTACTAAGTCCCAGGCTACCTGGAACTGTCCTGCCATCTCTCATTTAATCTTTCCCACAGCCCGATGAATTGGGTAGTCTTAGTTTCAAGGGAAGGGCTTTATCAGGCACTTTACTAAGTCCCGGGCTACCTGGAACGCTTCTGCCATCTCTCATTTAATCTTTCCCACATTTAATCTTTCCCGATGAATTGGGTAGTCTTAGTTTTGTTTTACAGATGATAAAACTGAGGCTTAGAGAGATTAGGTGATCTGCTCCTAAACCCACAGCTCTTAAGTGGCCCAGCCAGAATGCCAGAATTCAAATGCTTTGTCCACTCTGCTGGCACAATTCCACATCCTCCTTTTTTTTTAATCAATAGGCTTTAAGTAGAGCAGGTTTAGGTTTAAAGAAAAAAATGAGCAGAAAGCACAGAGGGCTCCCATGTGGCCCCTCTGTCCCTCCACAGGTTTCTCTACTGTTGACATCTTGCATCAGTGTCATACGTTTGTGGTACAGCTTTTTTTCAGAGATGCTGGTTCTACTGCCATGAGGCAAAGCTGGGATTGGAATCTGAGTCTGTCTGGACCCAAATACCAGGGCTGTAGGGTGGTGGGACAGGGGAAAATGCCTGGCTGTTTTCTGTGCTGTGGGGCTGTGAAAGTTCAGCCTAGAATGGGTCTTAATAACACAAGAGGGTGTGTTCTGGGGAGGGACTAGCCTAATCTTCTCTATCATCCCCCTGATCAACTCTGGGCAGGCAGCTAGGCTCAATTTGGCTCTGTTGAGGGGAGGGGAGGCTGGGCCCTAATCCTCCTCTCCTCTCACCAGAACCTCCCTTCCAGGTTCGGGGTATGGGATGCAGGAGGGACAGGGAGGCTGATGAGCAACAAATGGAGAGTGTCAAGGCCAGGCCTTGGGGTGGCCTCAGAGGGGCCCCCTCAAGGGCTGGTGGCTGTTCTGCCCTGCCCTCCCCTACCCACAGAACAGTGCCCAGGGCAGATGACCAGTAGATCAGCCACAGGTCAGGTCAGGGACACCTGCAGCCTGGTTGCTTCTACTGCCTCCTCCCCCTATCCCTACATTTCCTTCTTAAGTCCCCTTTCCCTAGGTCCTCTGTCCCAGACCCCAGGAACACTCCACCCTGATCCAAGGGGGGCTCCGACTCCAGGGAGATCCCCAGCCTCTGACCTGCTGTGTTCACACACACACACATCCAGTGCGGCTTGTGTGCACACAGTTCACGTGTGCTCATAGACACGTATGTGCACACAGACAGACTGACACACACATGCACAGGCCTCACATCCTTCCTCTCTCTGCTCCAGAGTCACATTGGTGCTACGAGATTCAAGCCAAGATCTCCAAAACCTGCTTGGGTAAGTACAGCGAGTCTTGGAAACAGGCCTTTCTGTGCAGTGGGGACCATCCAGGTCGAAATGGAGACCCAAGTTGGGTGGGAAAGATGAGCGGTAATGGTGCCCCCTCAGTCACATATCAGTTCAATACACACTCAGACACATACACATAAACACAAGCACAGACACACACAAGCACACAGAGACACAGACACACACATGCATACAGACACACGTACAGACACGCACACAGACAACACAGACACATACACATAAACACAAGCACACAGACACACACATGCACACAGAAACACACACACACATGCTTACATACACATAAACACAAGCACAGACACACACAAGCACACAGAAACAGACACACACATGCATACACACACATGCATACAGACACACACAGACACAAACACACACAGACACGCACACGGACATGCACGCATACACCGCTGGTGCTCGGGGACAGGGAATGTAAAGTGACCTGAGCATTTTCTGGCATCTCCCATCACTGTCACCAAGAGGGTAAGTCCTTTATGAAATAAATCAGCAGCAGCAGCAGCGAATGGAGAATTTCATTTTGCTCTTTCTCATACTGAAGTGGAGAGTTAGTTCTGTTCCAGTGCCGGTGGACCTGGGAGGTCATCTTTTGCACTTTTTATTCAAATGTGGACCCATTTCCCTGCGGTCTGCTTTCTTCCTGCCTCTGCTGTGTTTGGTGGCTGGACAGTGCTGACCCCTCCCGGACCCTGCCCAGCTGAGAGCTGGAGTCACCAGGGTGTGGGGAGCCAGGCTCCTCTATGGGCTACTTCCCCACCTCGGCCTCAGCTTTAGTGTCGAGTCAGGGGGTCTTTCATAAGCAGCCTTCCAGGGGACTCCACACGACACCTTCCACGTGCTCTCCTGTTCACTTTCTGGGATCTTCATCACGCAGGTTATGAGGCGGCCCGCCACTGTGCTTCTTCCTTCACAGCCCAGCATCGTGAGGTTGTCCCCTACCCCAGAGCTCACAGCCACCAACTGGCCACTCTGTTCCCACCCTGTCCCACATCACTGCCAGATCTGCTGGCTTTGCATGTGAGTGTGTGAGTGTGTGAGTGTGTGTGTGTGTGTGTCTGAGGAGAAAGGCTTCTGCAGCACAGCCTGTCAGCCAACCCAAGACCTTGTCTCATGTGAACTGGGTACATGAGTCTGACCTCTGTGGAACAGAAGAGGCCACACCCTGGTGCCAGGTGCCTCTGACTCAGTCTGCCCTCTCTCCCTGCTCAGGGCCAGACCAGTGGGGTGATGACTGCCAGAAGGACCGCCAGTCCCCCATCAATATTGTCACCAGCAAGGCAAAGGTGGACCAAAACCTGGGACCCTTCTCCTTCTCTGGCTATGACAAGAAGCGAAAGTGGGAAGTTAAAAACAGTGGGCACTCAGGTGGGTCCCAGGAGGGCAGGATGGAGGACCCAGGCAGGGATGGGCACCCAGTCCAGGGACCCCTGATTTCCCTGAGGACTAGGAGGGCATGCAGGCCTAGGTTCACGTCTGCTAAGGAGAAGCTGGAAAGCACAGCCGGGGGAGGGGAGGGGGAGCAGGAAGGGCTTCCTTCAGCAGTATTTTCAATCCTTTCATCAGACCTGTCTGGGGTTGCGGGGGTGGAGGGGAAACGTTCTAGGATGAAGGAACAACATGTGCAAAGGCGGAGCGTGAAACAGCTTGGGGTATTCAGGGAACTGCACATGGCTCCATGGCTCCATGTAGATGGAGGACAGAGAGTGAAGCCAGGAGGGGCCAAGCCAGCCCAGGGGCGGCGGGGCAGGGCGCAGGTGCAGGTCACCCAGGGCTGTGGAGTCTGGACATTCCCCTGAGGATGCCAGGTCACTACCAAGGGGGTTACAGCAGGGGAGGGATTGACTGAGATTTCATGTTTAGGGCAGCGGGGGGCTGTGCAGAGGGAGATGCAGGCAGGGAGGCCAGTGAGGGGCCAGGGAAAGGCCTGGGGCCGTACCACTGGACCCATCCCCTCCCTCCAGGCCCATGAAGGGTGGGAGGTAGGAGGGAAGGTCTTGCCTAGGTGGAGCTGGGAAGAGTGGCTGGGAGAGGCTGGCAGGGGCGGGTATGAAGACTCTGCTCCATCCTGTGCCCTTCAGTGATGGTGTTGCTGGAGGACGAGGCCACAATTGCTGGAGGAGGACTGGCTTCCCAGTACCGGGCCAAGCAGCTGCACCTGCACTGGTCTAAGGTGCTGGACGCAGGCTCAGAGCACAGCATTGATGGGGATCGCTTTGCCATGGAGGTGAGTGGCCCCCTACTGGGTCGGTACTTTGGGAGGGCTCTGGATGTACCTGCCTTAGCCAAGAAGAGTGGTCCAGCCTCCCACAAGTCCTCTCTCCATCCCTCTCACCCACCACCAGATGCACATAGTACATGAGAAAGAGCAGGGGACGTCAAGGAACAAGAAAGAGGACCAGGACTCCGAAGACGAGATTGCAGTGCTGGCCTTCCTGGTGGAGGTAGGACTCCCATCCCCCAGGGTCGGAGGGGCTGCTTCTTAGGATCCAGAGACCTGGGATTCCTGCAAGACAGGAGGAGCCTTGGGAGGCCCCAACTTCTCCTGTTTCTCAGTGACTTGTACACCCCCAGGTGGGGAGCCCAGAACCTCTCAGGACCTCAGTCCCAGAAACTTCCTGCCCTCCCTATCCCCCACACCCCTCCCCCCACCAGGAGAATAAACTGGTGGTCGCCACCGCCTCTCCACAAGCCCGTCTCAAGTCCCCTTCCCTCCTGTTCTAGGCTGGATCCAAGAATGAAGGCTTCCAGCCCCTGGTAGAGGCGCTGTCTGATGTCCCCAGACCTAGTGAGTCGGGATGACCATGAGCAGCGGGCTGGGGGGTGAGGGAGGGAAGAGTTCTTTCTACGAAGAGGGGACTGGGTTCTCAGAGGGAGGTGCGAGAGGGAGCATCAGAGCCTCAGAGATCTCTTCCCTCTCCAACTGACAGTATCCTCTCCCCACCAGAGATGACCACCAAGATGAAAAAGAACATCAGCCTGTCAGACCTGCTTCCCGAGGAGGAGAAACTGAGGCGCTACTTCCGCTACCTGGGCTCACTCACCACACCGGACTGTGAGGAGAAGGTGGTCTGGACTGTGTTTGAGGAGACCATTCAGCTCCAGGAGGAACAGGTACATAGGGCTCAGCCAAGGGTCCAGACTCCCACTGCCTAGTTCCCCAGAAACCATCCCTCTGGGTCCCCCCAGAGGTCCCCTGGGCTGGGGTAGGGGTGGGGCACCCCAGGGAGCTGAGGGCCTGTTGGTTGAATCCACAGACACTTCCTGTAAGAGACAGATAAGGGGAGGCTGTGGCAGAAGCATGAGGCAAGGCTTCCAGGCTGCACACTAAAAAGTAGGTGAGAGTCAGCCAGCTGAGGGCAGGGGTCCTGTGTCCTGTGGAGAGGCACCAGCATGCGAGGCTGGCCAGGAGCAGCTGCGAGAGGGTCAGAGTAGCCACAGAAGGAAAACAGTTCATTCATTCGCTAAATGATACTCTAGTCTGTATAACACATTAGGCTCCAGGATACAGCAGTGAGCCTGAAGGGCCCCAAACCCTGCCCCCATAGTACATTTGTTCCAGGACAGTGGTTCTCAAAAGGTGGTCCCTGAACCAGTGGCGTCACCATCGTCTGGAAACTTGCTAGACATTCTCATTCTTGGGCCTCACACCAGGGGCCCAACAAGCCCTCCAGGTGACATTAATGCCTGCTCAAGTTTGAGGACCATGATCGTTCTATAAGAACAGTGATAACAGTAGCTGTAATCGTATGCCCTCAAAACTGTGAGTTGTGGGTCCCCTCAGCTAAGGGAAGCTAATGAGAACTGAGCCCCACCAATCCCAGTACTTTATATCCCTCATTCTTTCCATCTGCGAAGATACCTGAGAGGCAGAGATTCTGAGCCCCTTCACTAATGAGGGTTCAGAGAGGCCAGGTGACTGGTCTGAGGTCACACAGCGGGAGTGCAGCTCTCCCCACCTGCCCTACCCACTGAGCCCTGTCCCCCCCACAGATCCTTGCATTCTCTGAGAAGCTGTACTACGACGACAACGACAACGGACAGGAACTGAAAATGACAGACAACATCAGGCCCCTGCAGCGACTGGGCCAGCGCCAGGTGTTCAGGTCCCAGGCCCCAGGACGCCTGCTGTCTCTGCCGCTGCCCGCCCTGCTGGCCCCCACACTCACCTGCCTGATGGCTGGCTTCCTCCGGTGATGGCTTACTTCTGGACACTTGACCTCTCTCCTCAGCCCTTAGAGGGTTAGGGCCTCCCTTCTTCAGGCTTCCCAGGTTGGACTTCGATGATTAAAATATGTATATATTTTTAGAGAAACTTTTCTCAGGTCTGTTTTTAGTTCTTACCACTCCCCCTGCCCTGTTCCCCTCAGCCTACTCCTGTTCTAGGGTAGGAGCCTCCAGGCCTGGAGATTTCTTCTGAACAGAGACCACGAGGCACCTGCCCCCACCCTTGTGAATTCCCTGTCTACATCCCACTTGGAGAGATGCAGAGGGCACTTCGGAGCTCCAGCACAGCGACAGGAGAGAGGCTGGGTGGAGGCCAGACTATAGCAGAACCGCCTGAGACCCCGGCCAGCGCTCCCTCCCCTGTACTAGGGGTGGATAGTGCAGGTTATATGTGGGTATAGCTTAGGCGAGGTGGGTGACAGAGGGTTCATTTAGGTACTGAAATATTTCTTGAGTGTCTGTCTTCTAGCCGCTGGGGATATAACAGGAATGAGACAGACAAAAACGCCTGCCCTCCTGGAGTTTGCAGTCTAGTGGGAAGACACCGTAAGTAAAACAGACACATTGTTCAATATAACAGAAGTGCTATGGAGGATGTATGGCAGTAAGTGCTGTGGAGAAAGCTCAGTCAGGAGGGGAAGGTGGGCAGGGAAGAACTCAGCCAGGAGGGGCGTGAGGGCCTGGGAGCTACCAGTGGGTCTTTGTGCTGTGGAGCAGGGCTGCAGGGTGAGGGGCAGGGGGAGCAGTTAGGGGGCTGCTGCAGTGGTCCAGGAACTGATGGGTCAGAAATGGAATGTGAGAGGAAGAAGAGTCACAGGTGAATCCAAGGGGCTCTGACCCTTACACTTGGGAGTTGTCAGCCCAGGTCCCTCCCACCCCTACCACTCCCTCCCAGCCCCTCGAATGTGTCTAATGATTTTTCCTTCTAGTATGAGACTAGGAGGGAGTGGGTGAGAAGTAGAGGGTTGGAAAACCAAGGGAGAAGGCAATAAGGGCCCCACTGGTGGGTCCCAAGCCAGGCAAGGCCCAGGGAATGAGGGGCCTCAGGCTCTCAGAGCTCATCACCCAAGGCAAGGCTGGACTTTGGAGGAACATGAGCATTGAGAAGCAGGGAAGGGGACAAGAACTGGTCTTGCTAGGTGAAGAGGAGCCCCCAAGGGCCAGGGCCAGGAGTGTGGGGACCACCTCTCTAATTGGCTCCAGTGTTGGAGGTGGTGAGTCTCCCCACAGAGAGACGGTGGGCTGGGCAGCACACAGGGATCCCATTGTCCGGCGTTAGAAGCCTTGGCTTGCTGTGGTCTCTGGAAGGGAGCTGGCTGGAGAAGGTGACCAGTAAGCCTTCTTCCGC